GCACAACTGAGCCCCCAAGTGGGCGAGGAGCGGGAGCCAGGGTCAGAGCAAAGGCATCTCCACAAGGGACCCTTTGGGACCTGGGCCTCTGTGCCCCAGGGAGGGGGTGTGCACGCACCCCTCCATGGCAAGTGTCTCCCGGCCCTGCCCTGCCCAAGGCCTAGCCTGGTGGAGACAGAGGGCTCCTGGGAGCCCGGCAGGGAGAGCTGACCTTGTCTGGTTGCAGGGTCAGGATGCCTGCCTGCAGGTCGTGCTTGATTTAAGACGAGACCTGAAGGATGATACGGGATGAGCAGGGGGAAGGAAAGGGGACAGCGTCCCAGGAGTCGGGGACAGCGTGTACAGCGGCCGGGCCACCAGGGAGAGCATGGCATGCCGGCAGAGTTGGAAACATGGTGATGGTCGTGCCTCAGCGGAGCCGGGGAGGCTAGACCTCAGGCTCGGGCGGGGGCGGTGACCCGGTCCCATCTGTGACTTTGGAAGGTCTTGGGCTGCCTGGAGGGGGCTGGGAACCAGGCGGCTGGGACCCAGTCATCGTCCGGCTCCTCTCTGGTCACGTGACACTCAGCACAAGTTAAGGCAGTTTCTTCTCGCCAATTCGTGTGTTTATTCAATCAGTATTTCTTAGGGCCTCCCCTGTCCCTGGCCCTGGGCTGGGCCCAGCCAAGGGGAGCCAGAGATGGGGTAGAAACAGACCACACCTTCCAAGAATGCAGTCCCTCACCAATGAGAAAAGAGGTGCAGAAGTAGCTTGCGTAGAGGATGGAGTGCTGAGAGCCCTAAGGAGGCTCAGGCCTCGGGGCCTGGCAGACAGGGGAGAGCAGAGAGGGGTGAGCCCCAGCTTGGCCACATGTCACCGTGGGAGTTTAGGCAGGTAACTCAGCAGTGCCCTCATCTATAAGCAGCACCTCCTCAGCAGCGTGTAGCGAGCACGGGCTTAGTGAAACACGTCCATGGGCCCGGAGCACAGTGTGAGGGAAGGCAGTGAGACAGGAGGCCGTGGACCCTCAGGGCCGGGCACAGAGCATGCAGACAGATGGTGGCCCCTGCTGCTCCCCAAAGCAGAACTTGTGCCCTCCAGTCTCTCCTGATTTCTGCTTCTCCCCTATTGTGGCTCAGCTGGTAAAGTATCCGCCTGCATGTGGGAGACCTGGGTTTGATCCCTGGGTTGATAAGCTCCCCTGGAGAAGGGAAAGGCTACCCACTCCAGTATTCTGGCCTGGAGAATTCCGTGGACTGTATAGTCCATGGGGTCACAAAGAGTTGGACACGACTGAGCGACTTGCACTTTCCTTTGTAAAACCTGCTACAGAGCCCCGGGGCTGTGATGGCCATGGCGAGGGAATGCAGGTTGTGGGGATGGGGGTCTGTGCCGCTGTCCTGACCCCTCTTCTTCTCCCTCCCCAGGGCACCTCCCACCAGTGGCCAGTAACCATCCTGTCCTTCCGCAGATTCACCTACCACTTCCAGGTGGCATTGCTGGTGAGCAGGGCACCCCGCCTCCCCGAGACATTCAGTGTGGGGCTTGGGGGAGAAGTGAGTGGGGGGCGTTGGAGAGCACATGGTGGGACTTGGGGCAGAGTCAAGCGATGACCGTCAGTAGGGGGACCGCCTCCTGCCTGGCCCTGGAGGCACTTCACTGGTTACCCCTGCCCTTCCACCCAGGGTCAGGCCAACTGCAGCGCGGAGGCCCCCGTCCGGCCGGCCACGGACTACTACTTCCACTTCTACCGCCTGTGTGACTGAGCTGCCCTCTGGAGGCAGCGCCACACCAGGGCCCGGGGGTTCCCGGGCGCCCCTTCCACACTGGATGCAATGGTGTTACACTGGAGCCCGCCGCCGGCACTTCTTTGGAGACTGAGCCGGCTTGGCCCTCCCCGCGCCTGGTGAAACTGGAAGTCCTCACACTGGAGCTGCTGTTCCCGCTGGCGGCACCCCCACACCATGGATGGAGCCAGAGAGAGACCTGCCGGGCCCAATTCACGTCTATCCAGACACGGCCGATGCAGGCCTGGCGATGTCAGGTGCCCAGAGGCGGGGGAAGCTGTGACTCTGTCCAGAGCCCACCCTCCCTGCCTCCCCTTCTGGCACTGGGAGCTGTCCCTCTTTGGGGAGAGCACCTGTCTGCCTTTGGTATTGGCGGGGGCTTGGCTCAGAGACCTGGCCGAGTCAGGAGTCAATGGAGGGCGGACAGCCCTCAGTCTCAAAGCTGCTCCCTGGGGAGAGTCAGGGAGCGGACGTTTTAGGGTTTGACTGTTACTGTACTCGGACTTCTAAGCTTTAAGCGTGGCCCAGGAGGTCTCTTCTCCCTGGAAGAGCTTGGCTCCAAGAGCTCCCAGGGCAGCTGAAGCCGGCCCTGGATGGGCTGGCGACTGACCATGTGCCTTCGATACACTCAGTGCCTGGCCGAACCAGGGGCGGGGCCAGCGGGCCAGGTAAGCCTTGGACCCTAGAACCTGGAGTATCCCAAAGTGAAGTTCCCTGTACAGCCACACAGCCTGGGCTCCGGGGAGTTTCCACTGGTCTCTGAGCAGAGGAGCCGGAATCCCTGCACGGCAGCAGGCTGGTCTTGGCTGGTGGATGAGTGGATGCAAATAGCTTTTGCTGTTATTAATGAAGTAATTACTAAAATGCACTTAAACCAGGACAGGAGTAGAAGAATGGAGATGGAGAGTCCCAAATGGGCCAGAGCTCTGGGGGACACTTGAAAGGCAGGGCCCTGGCTTTGATCCGTCCTTGGGTGCCTAGACACCCACCCCACTCCAACCAACAGGATGGGCCTCTTCCCCCTCTCCTGTCTGCTGGTGGCCTCACCTTCCCAGATCAAGGGCCCCATGCTGGGCTCGGCCAGCCAGGCTGGGGGCCCTGTTCTCGGCAGTAGGCCTCAATTCTGCCCATCCTCTGGAGCAGAGCAGTGGGTTTGGGTTACTGAAGTCTTATCTCAAGTGCCAACATTAACCTTTCTTAGTGGGTATATGGACCCTTCTGAGGCCACAGCCAGGCTCATGGAAGGAGTGGAAATCACTGCGTGTCTGCCAAGGGTTCAGAAATGGGGACAGAACTGCCGTCTTCGCCTGGTGATGTTCTGCCACCTCTGGGAGCCAGGCCTTGCCCCTCCTGCCTCTTGTTCTCAGCTGAGTGGGAGCCTTTCAGGGGAGACCTGAATCCTGAGAAGCCTAGGAACCACGGGCCCCGTTCTGCTACGGACATCAAGCACTTGTCCACACTGGCGGGATGGGGGGTAGCCAGGATACCTCACCTCCCAGCCCCTCCGCAGTGGGATTCCATGCCCTTCTTCTGACATAGGAATTAAGACAGTTCCCCACACCACTGCTTCCCTGGTAGCTCACCTGGTAAAGAATCCACCTGTAATGCAGGAGACCCCCCGTTCAATTCCTGGATCAGGAAGGCCCACTGGAGAATAGGCTACCCACTCCAGTATTCTTGGCCTTCCCTGGTCTTCAGCTGGTAAAGAATCCACCTGCAATGTTGGAGACCTGGGTTCAATCCCTGGGTTTGGAAGATCCCCTGGAGAAGGGAATGGCTACCTACTCTAGGATTCTGGCCTGGAGAATTCCTTGGACTGTATAGTCCATGGGGTCACAGAGTCGGACACGACTGAGCGACTTTCAGGTCACCACACCACACAGGTGGCTGAGCCTTACGTAGCACTACTGTTCTTTCCCCTATTGCGGGAACCCTCCCTAAATGCCATAAACCTGCCGAGCCTTGCCCCTTGTGATAGGATTCTGGGGCTTCCTCAGTGGGGCTGCAGGCTTCTTGGACCACAGCCCCTGAACTGGAGTTAAAAAGTGCTTAAACTGGAAAGTGACCCTCCACTGCCCCCTGGAGCCACTTGGACACAGCATCGCCCCAATCTGGTCAGCAGCTGGCTGTTACCATGCCTGGGGAGGGGGTCCTCTGTGTGGAGGCTGGGGCCAAGTAGGGGCTCCAAGCTGCTCAAGGCAGGGGGGCAGGGAGGGGGGTCAACCTTGGACCAAAGTTGCCTTAAGCCCAGGGAGGTAAAAGGGCTTCAGGAAAGGCCAGTGGGCCACCTGCTGGAAGCTGACAGCTGCCCAGTGGGTGCTGCTGAGTGGGTGTCTTGGCTCTATCCCGTACCTGTGGTCCAGCAACCCACCCCTCCCTTCCTCTCCCATTTGGCATTTACTCCCGTAGCCACTGGGTGAAATCTCCCCAAGCTTCAAGCTGTATATAGGGCCTCTCAATGCACAAGCACCCCCGCCCACGTTACAGCCCCCAAGGAAGCCTGCATGTGCATAGCGCACCCCCTCCCTCCCACGTAACTGCCCCCCGCCACCCTGCCCCGAGCTGACTCGTATTTATCGTACCAACTCTGACTCGAGGGGGCAGAGGGAAGCGGCCCCAGGCCTGCTTGCTTCCTGTCCCCTGTTCTTTTCTGAAGTAAATATCCGTATATAAATAAATGTATAAATACTGCTTTGTATCTGAGCTTGCTTCCTGTCTTCTTGAGATTGTTCTAGGGCAGGGTGGGGGTGGGGGGAGGATGGGGTCATCTGTGGGGCTGGGACCATGTGGAGCCCCTGAGCCTGATAGATGCTCTGTATGCCATTATCCCTCGTAGCTTCAGGCCTGGGAACAGGACGCGGTAGCCCCTTCCCCTAGCCACACCCCATGGACCTACAGCTGCCCAGCCTGGGTTAGAAGGAGGGACAAGCTTAGCTCAGCTTAGGGACAAGCTGAGCCTTTTGAGGGTCCCTGGCTATACTTAGAGGAGGGGACTGGCCCGGGACGGACTTGACTGGTGTGGGTTCCTAAGGAAGCTTACTCTAGAAGCGCAGAAGAGGGCAGGCTCCAGTGCCTTCCTGTCCACCGGAAGCCCTCAATTCTAAGGATAAGACACTCCCCACACTCCCTTCCTAGGCAGAGCGCAGGGCTTCCCAGCCACAGGAACCATCTGGGAGGCAGCAGAGACACAGGAAGGGGAGGGACTGGGGAACCATGAGTCCCAGCACCAGACACGCTGTCATATCTGCCTTTATTGTGAGCAACAGGTGGGACATTTCCAGCAACAGTAAAATAAAAAAAATTAATTTACAAAAGCAGGGATTCAGTGAAGCTGCCTGGTTGGAATCTGAAAGAGAAGGGGATCAGAATGAGAGCAGGGACCCATCTTTCCATCACCTTCCCTCACACAACCCCTCCACCAAGTGACCAAACATCAGTAAAAATTTATCTCAATGACTGAGAACACTGAAACTGACTAAAATGGAACTCCTGGCAGCAAATCCCGGACCCTGGCCCACCGCCTGGCCACTTGCCGATGGCTTCCCAGCCACTGTGCATGATGCGTAAGAACACAGAGGTGGTGCTCGCTTCGGCAGCACATATACTAAAATTAGAACACAGAGGTGGAACCACGTGAAGCCTGCGCCCACAGCCCAAGGCAGTACATTCCAGCACCAGACCCAGGTCAGACAGTGTGGAGACCTCAGATCTGACACAGGTCCTGCTCGGCTCAGATTCCCACCAGGGGACAGGGAAAGAAGCCCATGTGTCCGGCGTCCCTGTCCTTTCTGCCCAGTCTGTCTCCATCAGCCAAGGGGGCACGCGGGCCCAAGGACCCTGATGTGGGTGTGGGGAGGTTTCTCCAGCATCCCGCCCTGTCACCGCTCTCACCCTTGGGAGCTCATATGTAGATGCCGACCCAGAGCAGCAGGAAGAGGACTCCGAAGCCCATGAAGAGTGAGGCCACCAGGGAGATGAGGAGCTCTTTGTAGATGTCCCGGGTGTACTTGGTGGACGTGACCTCATAACTGGCCGGGCAATTAAGGAGAAGCAAAGGTGTGGACCATGCAGGGCAGGGAACCTGGCCAGGGCATCTCTGGGAGAAAGGTTTGCGCTGAGGGCTTTCCAGGAGGCTGGTCTGGCTCCGTGCAGCTGGGCAGAGGAGTCCAAGAGATGACCTAGACCCTGGCGCTCCTACTGTTGGGGCCAGTGTGAAGAAAGCAGGAGAGACTCCATCTTGAAGCCTGTCATCCATCCTAAAGACAGGATGTGAACCCTGCCCAAGAGTGAGGAAACCACTGCTAGTGAAAACCAGGTCTGGAGACTTCCCTCCCTACAGATGGCAAATGGAGACTGAGGTCGGGCAGCCCCTGTTAGATTAACCATGGAGACATCCTCCCTCGATGTATAATCATTGTTTGCCGCCCCCCACCCCCACCCCCGCAACCTTAATTGTTTGTTCTCCTAGCACTTACTTAGTTGTGAAACTCAATCATACACAACAAAGGGATTGCTAATATGTAACCAGTCAAGTAGTGGGGAGTATAAAGCTGGGCCTCTCAGAACCATCAGGGGCCTTGTTGAGAACTGATTCCCCTTGGACCCGCTGGCGTAATAAACTGTACTCCTCTGTCTTGAGTGTCCTCTGAGGTGTGCTTTGCGACTCCGGATTCCACAACACCCTTCAACCACCAAGGTCACATAGCTAATGAGCAGCAAAGCTGGGACCAGCCCTCTGATCTCCTGACACCTGAGTATATCACTCCTTATAACACTTCTCAACTTCAGTTCCTGTGCCCAGCCTCCAGTCCAGCCAGGCCCTCTGCTTACTATGAAGACTGAAGAGCAACTGAGCTCACCTGAACTTGGAAAATAAGGCTACAACCTGACTTTGGATGGCAATGGCCCTTACCCCTTAACCTCCTGACTGTCCTGCTTCCCCACGCCAGAACAAAACTGGCTGGGTGCCTGTACCCAGTGTAGTTCCTCCCTCCAGTCCCCACATCACTAACTCTGGCCCACTGGCTGCTCAGTCAAAGGATACACGAAGAACCAGGCGGTGAAGAACATGCCAATGGCCAGCAGCACCACGGTCAGGTGGGGAAAGACAGCCGGGTTCACGGGGCTGGTGTATCTGCTCATGGCCTCAAGTTCCTAGGGGAAGGCGTGAGATCAGAGCCACTGAAGGATCCCAAGACTTCAACTTCAGAGGACTATGGGATTATCAGAGCCTCGTGCTGCTGTGAATGACTGCAAGAAGCTTAATTCAGCCTGGGAGACAGGGACATTCTTCCCGGTTCCTTTGAAAGAACCACTGTCAAATGATACCTTTTGGGAATGACAACGATTATGATGGCATCTTAAACTAAGGTGGCGCTTTGTCTTTTCAGTAGGAGATGAGAAGGGCAGCTAAGAGTCAGAGGCTGAGACACACAAGGGGACTGATTAGCTACAGATCAATAGTCCTTAACATTTTTTTTTTTTTGGCTGCACCATGCAGCTTGTGGGATTTTAGTTCCCTGACCAGGGAATCGAACCTGCATTCCCTGCATTGAAAGCGTAGAGTCTTAACCACTCAACTGCCAGGGAAGTCTGGTCCTTAACATTTTCTGAGGCCACTGATCATCATGGGGAAAAAAAAAAAAAAACATGATGAAAGGTCTGGACTCTTTGCCTGGGACAAATCACACACAAGAAAAAGTTTGTGGGAGGGGTGAGTCCCTTCACTGTTCACCTGAAACTATCATAACATTTTTCTTTAATTGGTTACACCCCAAGACAAAATAAAGTGCTTTTTTTTTTTTAAAACAAAAGAAAAAGTTTGCTTATGATTTTAGGATCTTTATGGACCCATGTCTGTAGACACCAAGCTCAGAATCCTGACTGAAAGGCAGATTCTGAACTGGTCCAGAGTCTGCCTCAACTTCTAATTCTCTATTCTTCCCACTACACAATTAAGGAATCTCGGGAACTGCAAACAAAAGACATAAGTCAAAATTCTGACTCTACTAAATACCATGAATCTCAGTAAGTGATTATAATACCTCTCTCACAAGGTTGATGTATGATTTAAGACAAACGTCACAGCATCTAACTCATTGCCTGGCATAGAGTTGTTGCTCAATAGGTGTTTGTTTCCTTCCCAAGGTTATAGGGAAGATCATGAGCTAATGCTTGTGAAAGAGGGCTGTAAAAGTAAAGTTCCGTACAAATGTTAATTTCCATTGTCACCCACCAGCCAATGTTTAAATCCAGAACATAACAACTCTAGGCAAGTAAACTGAGCCCATTGTTCTAAGAGACACTGGAATTCAAATCAGTAAACATTTATGCCCCCCCCTGTAAACGATGAAGACAATCGCTGCCATTGACTGAGCCTCCAATTGCAGGCCCTGTGTTTGGCACTGGGAATACAAAGATGAATAGACATCATCCCAGGGCTAGAGGCACGTCAGATGGTGGTCACTAGGAGGCGTGGCAGATAACAAAGAAGTCCATGACACGTGGCAAGAGGGCTGTACACAGGTTGTGGGGGCTCCCAGGGCAGAGCGGACAAGTGCCCGTGACAGCTGGAAGTGCTTCACCAAGAAGGTGACTTTTGCCCAGCGCTAGGTAGTATGAGTACGAGTTCCGCAGAGCAGGGAGAAACTTGTCAGATAGAGATAATAGTTTGACCACAGGTAACAGAGCTAAATGCTGGAAGGTATTAAAAAATGCACTCACGCTCCTCATCCTTATAAACTGCGAGATCAGAAGCCCACTGAGAGCAAAACCTTACCTAAGGAGTCAGCCCATTCCCCGCCCCTCAGTCCAAATCGAAGGATCCAGGGTCCTCCCGCCCTCTAGACATCGGGCACCTGACGCCTCTGTGAGAGAAACAGGCACAGGATGGAACTCGGGGGTCCCCAGAGCCCCATTGGAACTCCCCTCAACCCCCTCACCATTTTGCCGGTCACAGGGTAATCCGCCACTCCGCCACCGGAAGAACACGTCGTCAGGAGCAGGCGCGCTGCTCAACCGGAAGAGGAAATGCAGCCACGCGGGTGGCTCTGTGGGACTTGTAGTCCCGTGGTTTCGGGTGTGGCGGGATCTGGGGCCTTCGGGAGCCCGGGGTGGAGTAGGGGCAAGCAGTGGAGAAGGGTAGGGTCAGGTCGCAGAGCAGGTCCGTCCGCCCTGGCGGGACTGATTGCCATGAGAGAAGCTGGCCGAGGGGCCTGGGGTCTGTACTACGCTTCCCAGGAGGCTGTGCGGCGCGGCAGGTCACGTGACAGGAGCGCGGGCTTTGGAAGGCGGTGAAGCGAGAGGGTACCAGAGACTGGTGCTGAGGAGGCTTCGGGGCAGAGGCGGGAGTCGGGCTGAGTTCTGTTCTGGGCCACCCGGGAGCACCCCAGAGGCCCAGGTGAGACCCTCGGGAAGCGTCTCTGAGAGCGTCGGGCCCGTTTTGCGCCGGGTGTTGGGGAAGGCGGGCGGCTGCCGCGCGCGGGGCGGAGAGAGCGCGGGATTCAGACGGGCCCGCCAGTTTCCCGCTGCGAGTCCGGGGCCAGTCCCTTAACCTCTGAGCCTCTTTCCTCATTTGTAGAAAGAGGGTGATAACTCCCACCTCATGAGGTCGTTGTGTATTGTGACCGAGCTCCTGGAGGAGACACTTTTTTGACCTGCACTTGTTCATATCACTGCCTTTATCGGACGCAGTGGGAGGATATCTGCCCTTGTTCTAGCAAAGCCGGTAACTTGAGACACGAACCAAAGGATCGAGTGGGTTCTGCCGGGGGAACGTTTGCGAGCACCTAGTGTTTGTGTTTTCGTCTGATATCTCACTTAACCCTGGCAGTAATTCTGCAAGGCAGGCATGGTTATCATCTTACTTGGTAGATGAGAAAACCAATCCTAAATGGCTTAGTAATGTCACACGCTAAGTGACTTAGTGATCACTGTTATCCAGGTAGTAAATAATGGTGCCTAGATTCAAAGCCACTGCCATTCACAGAGGAACTAAAACGAGATAGAAAAGGGCTGCAGAATGGTGGGAGGAGCGTACAGCTGAACAGAAGTGAGACAGGGCAGTCTCATCCCAGTTTTTGTCTTGGATTCCCAGGCTGTATAGCGTGTTGGACATACCACATGATGACCCCTAAAATCCCTTTTTTAAAAAATTTTTTTGGCAGCTGTGGAACATGTGGGATTTTAATTCCCCAACCAGGGATCAAACCTATGCCCTCTGCATTGGGAGCACAAAGTCTTAACTATTGGACCTCCAGAGAAGTTCCCCCGAATCTTTTTGAATACTTACGCATTTAACATGTAGTAAAATATAACTGATAAAGCACAGATATTATTGCTTAAGATGAATTCTCTTTTCCAATTTAGTTTTTAGAAAATGGTGTCCATATAAAGAAAATTTTAAGTTTAGGTTTTCGTGGGAAGTTGCACAGAATTGTGAGGGTGGTTTGGGCCTGACTGAAGTTTGGAAAATACTGTCCTAAGGAGTCCAAACCACAGAACTGTGGTACTGGGCTAAGTGACTGTAGCATCACTGGATCAGAACTCAGGGTAGAGAAGAAGCTGTGGAGTTCACATTTCAGACTTAGTGGTGGAGAGAAAGTACAAAGGGAAAGACTTAAAACAACATCATAACAGAAGTAGAAACTCTTTGACATGCTGAGGGGATGCTGAAGAGAGATTAGAGAAGTGTTGTGAAAACCGCATTATTCTCACACCAATGTTATTCCTGCCAGTTCTTCAAAGCTGCTATGTTGCCCAGAGAAGCAGAACAGACAGGATCTAGAATATGGATATATGGGAAGGCTGACTTTAAGGAATTGGTTCAGAGGATCGTAGGTGTTGGAAAGTTGAAAATTGTAGGTCAGGTCAGCAGGCTGGAGACTCTGGTAGGAGTTGATGACTGGTCTTGAGGCAGGATTTCCTTGTGAGACCCGTTTTTGTGCTTACGGCCTTTCAGCTGATTTGATGAGGCCCTCCCACATTGTGGGCTTCCCTGGTGGCTCAGATGGTAAAGAATCTGCCTGCAATGCAGGAGACCCAGGCTTGATCCCTGGGTCGGGAAGATCCCCTGGAGAAGGGAATGGCTACCCACTCCAGTGTTCTTGCCTGGAGAATTCCATGGACACAGGAGTCCATGGTGTTGCAAAGAGACACAGGCACGACCGAGTGACTAACACTTTCACTTTGCCATATTGTGGAATGAAGTCTCCTTAAAATCAGCTGATATAGATGTTAACCACACCCACAAAATACCTTCACAGCAACACCTGCATTAATGTTTGATTAAATAATTGGATATTGTGGCCTTGACAGACTGACACAGAACTAACCCCTCAGAGCTGCTGAAGGGAGGTAAGCTGGAGGAGTGAGTTGGGAATAAAGATCCAAAGAAGGAACGAATGTGTTGTTCATGAATTGGCAAGAAGACAGATACTCCTAAGTTTGTTTACCACCTTAGACATTTGGTTGCCTTTTTATCTGTCTTGTCTCACCTTTGTGTAACGGATTTGCGTGTCATTCAGGGGGCAGTTCTGCCATCATGGTCCCTGGACTCCTCAAGCTGGCCCAGGCTGTCTCCTCTGGCCTTGCTGTAGCCCTTTTTGCAAGCTAGCCCTGTTGCTGCCTTAGCCACAAAACTTTTAAGTCCCTTAACGACTTGAATATCTTATCCTCTCAGCATGTAGTTTAGTGCCTGATACTCAGGAATCCTTAGTATTAACTGAGTGAACTAGTATTAATTGAGTAGACTTTCTTGCTGTACATTTCTTGATGACTTGGTGTCCTTTTGTTGTGCTAAATTTGTTTAGCCGCAGGCATGACATTGATGATATAGTGCCCCTGATAATCCTCCTGCATCCTTTAAGTTCCTCCTTGTCTTACCCACCTTTCTTTTTTAGCTGTCCCTCCTGTATTGCTATGGGAATTCAAGGACTGGCGAAACTGATCGCTGACGTGGCCCCCAGTGCCATCCGGGAGAATGACATCAAGAGCTACTTTGGCCGCAAGGTGGCAATCGATGCCTCCATGAGCATTTATCAGTTCCTGATAGCTGTTCGCCAAGGGGGGGACGTGCTGCAGAACGAGGAAGGGGAGACCACCAGCCACCTGATGGGCATGTTCTACCGCACCATCCGCATGATGGAGAATGGCATCAAGCCCGTGTACGTCTTCGATGGCAAGCCGCCGCAGCTCAAGTCTGGGGAGCTGGCCAAGCGCAGCGAGCGGCGGGCTGAGGCGGAGAAGCAGCTGCAGCAGGCTCAGGCTGCTGGGGCCGAGGCAGAGGTGGAAAAGTTTACGAAGCGTCTGGTGAAGGTCACCAAGCAACACAACGACGAATGCAAGCATCTCCTGAGCCTCATGGGCATCCCGTACCTCGACGCACCCAGCGAGGCCGAGGCTAGCTGTGCGGCCCTGGTGAAGGCTGGCAAAGTCTACGCTGCGGCCACAGAGGACATGGATTGCCTGACATTCGGCAGCCCCGTGCTCATGCGGCACCTGACTGCCAGTGAGGCCAAGAAGCTGCCCATCCAGGAGTTCCACCTGAGCCGGATCCTGCAGGAGCTGGGCCTCAACCAGGAGCAATTCGTGGATCTGTGCATCCTGCTGGGCAGTGACTACTGTGAGAGCATCCGGGGCATCGGGCCCAAGCGGGCCGTGGACCTCATCCAGAAGCACAAGAGCATTGAGGAGATCGTGCGGCGGCTGGACCCCAACAAGTACCCCGTGCCGGAAAACTGGCTCCACAAGGAGGCCCAGCAGCTCTTCCTGGAGCCCGAGGTGCTGGACCCAGAGTCTGTGGAGCTCAAGTGGAGCGAGCCCAATGAAGAAGAGCTCGTCAAATTCATGTGTGGGGAGAAGCAGTTCTCCGAGGAGCGAATCCGCAGTGGGGTCAGGCGGCTGAGCAAGAGCCGCCAGGGCAGCACCCAGGGCCGCCTGGATGATTTCTTTAAGGTGACCGGCTCTCTCTCTTCCGCCAAGCGCAAGGAGCCAGAGCCCAAGGGAGCCGCTAAGAAGAAGGCAAAGACTGGGGCAGCAGGGAAGTTCAAAAGAGGAAAATAAACGGGTTTCCCTTCACGATACCTCTGTGATCCCAGGATATTTGCCTCTACCTGTAAGAGCTGGCGCTGGAGAAACCTCCATAGGGGTGGGGAGGGGCTTTCATTGCTTCCCTGGCACCACCCTGCTCAGTTGTGCTTTTCCCTTTGTTACTTGATTTCATGGCAGGAAGGCCACAGAGGTACGTCATTGTCTTCTTTTTTAGCTCAGGAAAGTATGTCAGGCTCAAGCCGCCTCTCAGGCAATTTAATGGACATTGAATCCATTGTTACATGAAAGCAACAAGTTTTGAAGAAGAGAGGGAGATAAACGGTGGAGATAAAAGACTGGGATGATTTCCTGCCTGGCCAGCTGGTGGCTGGTGGGAGGTGACCGTGGAACCAGACTGCTGCTCTCTCTGGCTCAGCCTTGACCCGCCCTAAAGAGTACCTATCAGGGAGATGCAGTGTCTTAAACAGATGGGAAGAGCTGCTGAGAAGTAAGATAGGCAGAGAGCTGGAGTTGACACCAAGGGTTTGATTACCGGCTTTGAATCCTGGGGTGGGTAGAAATTTGAACTTGCTATGAAATTCCATACAGTGGTAATTCATAGGCATAAGGTGGTGGAGTGGTTCTCACGGCCTTCCTGAAGCATTTGAGTTGAAACTTTGGGATAAGATGCTGTTTTCATGTGCTTTTTTTTTAAGGTATGAGAAGGAAAGATTCAATAAAACTATAAAAAGTAACCAGAATGTCCTGTTCTTTGAGAACATTTGAAGACATCTCAAGTGCCCCAGGCTTCAGGCAATGTAAAATGTTCTCACCCAAGGTAACATGTTAGAATTGCACATTATTAACAGGTGATTTGAGAATGGCCAGAAGATGGCACCATTCTCCACAGGATGGCCAAGGCAGCATTGGAGGTCCTTCAGCCATGAAGCCTGGTTTACCTTGCTGGGAAAGGAGTTTTAATAAATTGAATGAATTTCTAGTTTTGCACCTACTGTGTGAGATAAAGGAGCTCCTTTGAGAAATCCTCATAATTTAGATCAACTACATACATCAAGGCATCCAGGCATTTACTTTACCAGTTTATTAATCATGAAAGCTATCATTCAAAAATCACTTTATTATTTCCTCTGTGACGTAAATTTCAGGTTACTCTTTTTCATAGAGTTGGAATGTTGTGGTGGTTTTTTTTTTTTCACCAACATAACTTTTATCAATAAAACATACCCTCAGTAAAACAACATAGTAATTGTTATACTTCAATAATTTTTTTTAAAAACAGTAATTAACACAACATTGTAATTAAACTATACTTAAGTAAAAAAATGAATCAAAAATATCTGGATAGGTTTGATGTGATATCTGTTGTGATTTTGATTTGCACTTCTCCCATGATCAGTGAGGTTGAGAACATTTTCATTTATTGCTTCACCATTTTTACTTAATTTTGGGGAGATGTCTGTCCAGTTATTTGGTCCATTATTAAACTGGATTATTAGCCCTTTTTTGGAACTTGATTTATACTTATTTCTTAGTCCTTTTTAAGTCATATGGTTTTAAAATTTTCTTCCCATTCTGTATGACTGTTGAAGAGACTTCTTTCCCATTGTGGAGTTTTAGAACCTTGGGGAAGATGATTGTGCCAGTATGTGTGAGTTTATCTGAGGGCTGTATTCTGGCCAATAGGTCTATCTGCCTGGTTCTATGCCAGCACCCTACTGTTTTGCTTTTTGTGCCTGTGTAATATATTTGAAATCAATAAGTGAAGCCTCCATCTTACTGTCAAGATCATTTTAGCCCTTTGGGGTCCTTTGTGTTTTTATATGCATTTTTCAAAAATTTCTATTGGCATATAGCTGCTTTACAGTGTTGTGTTAGTCTCTAGTCTCTTGTATACAGCAAAGTGAATCAGTGATATGTTGGTGTATATTCTTTTAAAGACCAGTGGTGTTCAGATATTTTTTAAGAGTAAACTATCTTTCAAGTGAAATCTTACGTGAAATGTCAGACTTATGCGCTCCTCTGGTTGAAGCAGGAATGAGATACAGTCTCCCCGGCAACATCCCATAACCAGGGGCCTCCAAACCACTGGTGTAGACAGAAAGTTCTGTCCTTAGGGCAGGGATTTTAGTCTCTGTTTCTAGCAGTTGACAAACCAATTTTCCGGATTGAACCAAGCCACAAAACTTGAGTTCCGTTTTTCTTTTTGGCTCTGCTGTACAGCATGCGGGATGTTAGTTCCCTGACCTGGGATTGAACCCTGCAGTGGAAGTGTGGAGTCAGCCTTCACCAATGGTGATGGGGGCCCAGAAGTGGGAAGACTTAGGAGTTACTGCGTTGACACAGTAGCCCTAGTTAAGGGCCTGTCTACTGAAGTGGCAGGTAGAGTGCTTTGTCTTTGGAATTACCTAGTCTTTTCTAGAAGTTTATTAACCACTGCAGGGAGAATTAGTCCACATTTTATTTAGCACATTCTAATATTCTTGCTTGGAGAGAAGAGCTGTTCTAGTAGGGCCCTGGTTAAAGGGGCATTTCCTTGCAGTCCAACTCTGAAGTATAAGAGTTGGCAAAAAGCAGTCTTATGGAGACCACCCACACCCAGATTAGATATGAGTTTAAAAGGGTGAGGGCATTGCCTCATGATAGGAGATGATGCACTGAGCACTGAAACCGCTTAGTGTACACAGGCCGTCTACACTGAGCGCTGAAACCACTTAGTGTACACAGGCCATCCACACTAGGCGATGAAACCACTTAGGTACACAGGCCATCTATACCAATCGCTGGAACCACTTAGTGTACGCAGGCCGTCTACACTGAGCACTGAAACCACTTAGGTACACAGGCCGTCTACGCTGAGCACTGAAACCACTTAGGTACACAGGCCGTCTACACTGAGTGCTGAAACCACTTAGTCTAGCATTTAAACTCTGAGGGTCATGGGAAGGGGTTGGCCTTTCTTCCTGCCAGTTATCCGAATCTTGGTGTTTTTCAGAGGGACCTGATGATCCGCCCTCTACCCCAAGGGGACTAATGTTCTAGAAAGTTAGAGCTGTAGAGGTAGATAGTAATTTGAAGCAGAGGTAGAGGCAGCCCTATCAACAGGTACAGGAAAGCATCATGCATTATAAGTGAAGAGGCTTTGTTTGGTCCAGATTAACTTTTATTTCTCAGTTTGACTTCATCGGCATGTGGTATCAAAATTGGTATACACGAAAAGGATACTGACACAGGGTCTACTTAAAAGGCCTGTAGCAGAGTGGTAGGAAGATGAAAGTAACAGACAGCCTAGAAGTTGGAGTTTTTAAAAAGTGAGTTCAAATGTTAGTTCTGCCACATCTATGACCAGAGAGGCAACTTCTCTCTAATCCTGCTTTCTCCTGTTACGGTGTGGATCTGGTCATTATGAGATCACTCACGTTATCTTGCAGCTCTGAGCTTTCTGTTACTCGTCTGTCCCTTTGTGGCCATGTGAGACCACACTGGGCCAGACTAAGGAGAGAAGGCCACAGTGGTTGAGGTGCTTTGAGGACCTGGACTTGGCTCAGTAAGACCCATTAGCTTTGCTCAGATTGGGCAGCCTGGGCCCAAAGCCAGATGGCTTGATAGGCTGGGTTTAGCACCTATTCTAGAGTGAAGGAGCCAGTGGAAGTAGACTCTCCAATTCTGCTTATCAATTGTTCTGCCTCAGTGGAAAAGATCTAAAATCTGTAACCTGGTTTCCTCTGTGTGTGTGTGTGTGTGTGTGTGTGTGTGTGTGTAAAAGTCTAAGTAACAGCAAACCCTGTTGGGTGGTGCCTCTGACCCCACCCCAACATGCCCTAGGCCCTTCATCGCCCTGATTATCACTCTCATCTCTTTGCCATTCTCTTCCTAAACTAAACCTGAATGCTCCCAGGCCTCTGCTTTTTTCTTCTAGTTTAAGGTTCTCTCTTTGCAGTGTCCGGAATACTCAATATGCTTAGAGAAGATGCTGTTGAACAGGTGAATTGATCTCACCTGAACTGAAAGGCTATGGGGGTGGGGATGTGAATGCTGATAACCCGTGGGACACAGTCCTGGGGTTCCCTCTCTAGAGATGGGTTAAACTGTTTTCACTCTTGAAAAAAAAAAAAAAAAAAACCGAGATTAAAAAATTGTATTTCAGTGTTAGACTGATACACTTTTAAGAGATTCTCCTAAATTCCTATCTGGTCTCCAGCAGAGAAAGACACTTGAATACAGTTGCCAGAGTAAGGATTCTAAAGGACAGCCATGATGGTCAGACTTCTGTTTTTTACCTTCCTATTTCTGATAAGAACTATGAAGTCATTATATTTACCCAATGCCCCTGCTCAAAAGTGATGCTGTAACATAATTTGTTATAGAAAATCTCTTACAGCCCTTATGTTCTTTGACTGAACTCTTTTGTGTTTTCATCATGCCTGGTGATTCCAGTCTCTCCCCGGCCTGGTCACTTGCGCTCACTTGACTGCTATTTTTACTAAATTTGGGATTACAAGTAGGGGAGTAGAGGGAAACCACTGGGCGCCCCAGTTTGTTTCTATGGAGAAGACTGGGTGCTGCACCTGCGCAACTTGCTTATGGAGCAAGTAGACGCCCCATCCTGGGAGTGTTCTGTCCCTTGGGTGAGAGTTAAGAGGTCAGTCAAAAGCTGAAAGGATTTTTAATGCCCAGCGACCCCATTGGCAGCCTCATGTTCCCTGGGTACCCGAGATGGAACACGAGGCCAAATCCAGTAGTGTTAGCATCCTTCAGGGCTGGATGCCTCCAACAGCACAGCCGTGGCCTCTGCTTCCCCCCACCACCCTGCTCCTCAAAGTGGAGAAACTGCTTCCTGAGGAGTCTGAAGCAGACATGGGTCATGCCTAGCCCTAGAGTATGCTGAGCTGCCAGGCCTCAGAATTCTCAATCTTGCCCAGGCGGTTCACCTGCTCTGTCTCCCCCCAGCCTGTGAACCTCTTGAGGTTTGCAAGCCAGGGTAGAGAAGGCACCGAGAAGTGGACCAGGGGGCTGAGCACCTCCCTTTCCTGGGTGAAATTTCAGTGCTAAATCTCTTCCTGATTTCTGAGCTCAGTAGACCTTCCCTATTCTCACACCCTCCCACCTCCCTCTTAGCTCACCAGCCACCTGCACCTGCCAAACAAAAAAAAGAAACAAAACTCACAGCCCTGTCCCAGAAGCTCCACCCCTCCTTTCAGGGGGCTTGTGTGTTTCCCTCCACCCCTTTGGGTCTTAGATCTATGCCTGGAAAATAAAGGGGAGGGGTTTGGGTGCAAACCTGTTGTCTCCTCAAACCCACCCCCTCTGAATATTAGGATTATAGTGGCATTGCCCCCAAGCCTCCGTCTGCTTTGGCGCCATAACCCTTCTTGCAGAGGGAGGCGACTGTTATTGGTGGAGATAGGCATCTAGCCAAAGCTGCCCGGACTCCTTCAGTGAGCTGTGGGGGTAAGATGAGGGCAGGTGGTAAGGGAAATGGGCTGGAGCAGAGCCCAAAGCCAGACCACCCACCAGAAGTGCAGCAGCAAGGCCCTTCCAGAGGTGATGCAAGGCCTCTTTGCTTGGTGACCCTCCATTCCAGAAGACCCGGGAAGCACTGCTGTGCTCCCACCCCACACTCTATCACCGACCCCGCCACCTTGCCCTCTTCCCAAGCTCAGATACTCACTGGACAATGTCAGCGAAGGCTGAGAGCAGGGGCTTGGACTGGTACTTTATGCCATGCTTGGCACAC